TATATTTTGCTCTTTGAAAAATAAATCATACTGACTTGTTCCGGCTCATTGTGCATACAGTATTCAAGCAGCAGTTCACCACCTTGAGGAGGAAAGAACGTTTTGCTAAGTCACAGCACACCTAGAAATACTGTGTTGGTCTCTTTGGGCAGCAAAGAAGAGCTACGATGTAGTGGACTGGGACAGCAGCTATGGAGAGCTCACACTAATTTCTAAAACAGCAATGACCTGGAATATTTCCTTCTGCTAGTGAAACAAAAGCACACGTCTGCCTTGTGAAACAAAAATCTTATTCTCTTCTCAAGCAGAATGAAAAGCATTTATCTTTTCCTTGTAGTTCTATTTCCCCACTACCAGGCCAAGGATAAAAGTTAACTATTTCGCTAGAACTAATACTTCAGAGCAGATCTGCAACCATATACTGGGACAAGGGGCAGAGTACCAGAACAATAAACTTGTACTTGAAAATCCTAGACAATTGCTACAGAAGAAACATGAGTAAAAACAATTCTTTACTTTCTCAAGAAACAGATAAAGATTTACACCCAGAACTAAACAATAGCAGCAACGCTAAGCAGTTGACTGAATGTATTTGGTTGAAGCTATGATGTAATCAAACAGCTGGTCTTCTTAGCATGTCTTTTTGAATGAATCTAAAAAACCATTTTCACTTAATAAAGTACTAACGTTTGAATCCCTACACATCTTACAAAAATGCCTCTAGGCTCTTCTCATGTGTGACTAAAACTGAAGCCACTTTCAACAAAGGAGCAACTTGTGATTTGTCACGTGATTTGTGACAGAAACAAATCCAGGCCACCTAACACAATGCTTGTTCCTGGGATGACTACGGTTCTGTCCTCCTATTTTAGCTATCTGTATAGAAGCAATCTGCATTTACAGTTCATCAACTCAGAAGAACATTAGGTTGATTAAAATGTTCATTCTTTGAGAGAGACATACCAAATCTCCAACATCCACTGCTATTAAAAAAAAAAAAAAAAAAAAAACAGTTGAAATAAAGAGTGAAAGATTTTGCCTTTTCCTTTTATATGCTGGTTGCTCTTCCTTATATGATCATTCACTTATATTTAGCCTGTCGCTGAACCTGTTTCTTTAATTAGGCTCTGGACATGCTGAGAAGTATAGCTGTGTGTTTGTGGCACAGGTCCAGTGCTGTAGGAACAACAAATGGGTGAGAAAGGAGAACTGTTGGATTTGTGCCAAATTACTCAATATTTCTGTAGACCTGTTCAACTTAATTTGCATGTTGTTGGGATATTACAATCCTTAATGACTAAACCTTGCTGAGAAGCCCATGTAGCACCATAAAGATATTGTGTAACGTCTGTATTATCTTCAGCTTACAAAACAAAAATTTTGATAGGAATCTGTATAGGCAGCAGTTCTTCCGTAAGTTGCCAGCATCCTTATTTCATACCAAGTTTCCATGCATCTGCAACTGTAATGAAGTTTTAAACACAGAAAATAACTGCAATTGTCCATCTGAGTTCACTGAGCGCCTTTATGCTTTCATAAATCCCATAAATTTTTCTTTCAGCTGCTACTGTTTGCCTGATCACACTTCAGAAGTTTCTTTGTTATCATCTGCCTGCAGGCAACATTGTATGGAGGCTCAGTGAATTGCATCAGACAGGTAAAAGCTGGCACTTGAATAATTTATGTCAGCGGCTTACTTTCAGTACGCAGCTTGGCCACCAGCTGCAGAATAGTGTCTTAACAAAGACCCGGACAATATGGAAGAAGTCTGAAGACATCATTTTGGTTACTCATCAATGTCACGTGAAATGCACGGATGTGAGCACTGATGCCAGTAACGAACCCACAGAACTATTAGATCCTTATCATGAATATTGCATTTCTTGCTGCTTTTTGTCTTTTCTATAAAATTATATCCAAGCACCTGATTGACTTATTATTGTCAACAGCATGAGTTGCTACGTTAATATTTGAATTAAAAGATGAACAAACACAAAGAGAAAAAAGAGGCTGCCAGTTGTCTGAACAGCCATTGCTCAGTCACAGTGGAATATATTGTTCATTTATGAGGCCTCTCTGATTGATCTTCATGAAAATGTAACCTGATTACCTTTCAGTGGTTTCCAGATGCAATGTCATATGTGCAAACAGTAACTGAAAATCTACTGATTATTAGTTGTACAAAAAAAGAAGCTACCTACTGCTGAGTCAGAGGTTGCTCACAGCAGAACAGTTTAAAATATATGCAAAATAAATGCAGCTCTGTCAGTGACAAAGACCATAAACATTCCTGTAAACTAATGTTAAAACCTGCAAAACTCTGCCTAGAATTTACTTACTTTTTTTTTTTTTAAATATCCAAGGTAGTGAGACAAAATGTTAGCTGTTAGCCACTACTTGGCCATGTCTTGTACGAGAAACCATCCTGCAGTGTAAATAAGGGATTCATACTCTGTTCCAAAGTGTATATAAAAGATATTTCTCTTTGATATGTTTTTCAAAGTGAAAATCCTGTTTCCAAAATTAGAAGTTCTAACAGGGACAAAAATACTTAAAAGGGGATGAAGATATAAGAAAAGATAGTAACACGCTATCTTTGGAACGAATATGATCTGATGTGATGATAATAGAAGACAGATTGTATTTCTCTTTTTGGAAGAGCTACTGTGAATTCCCACTGTTAAAACAACAGCACCAATTCTGTATACACTTCCTTTTAACAATATTTTCCCAGTGCTTTACAAAGGATGTTAGGATCATTACCCTGATTTTACTGATACAAAAACTGAGAAAGGCACCACTGAAAAAATAACTAACCAAATGTCACCTGGCAGACAAGCAACTGAGTAGAGACACAAATATTCCAGTTCTAGTCCAGCACTGCATTAACAAGATCGCACTGATCCTTTCAGATGCCTGAACTAGCTTCTGTTCAGGTGAGTGTCCACAGAACATACAACACTATTTTGCTTTTCTGACTAACCTGGCTCTTAAGTACCTACTAAATACTACTGCAGGGAGTCATTAGTAACTATTAAAAGGCTCTCCTTTAGCAAAGCCATCCAGTTGTTAATGACTGGCAGGAGTTCAAAATTCCAGTTCAAAACAGTCTGTCTTTTAATTGCCCTTACAGGCTTGGTTTTTCCCAGCTGTGATATTTATGGTGGGAATAATAAGAAACATAGGCAATGATACTTCTATGTCTTGTGCAGCACTTCCTCTATGCTTTTCCAATGCAAGGGAATTCAGCATGTAAAACATAATACTCTCCCTGCCTGTTACCTCCTTAGCCATTTGATAACACAAATTCTTTAAAAGAAAGAGCAGAGAGAGCAACCAGAGTAAAATTTTCTGTTGAGAGAAGGAAACATCCACAAGCTTGCCCAGATATGACATTAGTAGCAAAAAGGTTTCGGCTTTCTCTAAATTTCAAAAGACAGCTAGTTATTGGACCTAAAGATTTGTGTGCTAGCTAGGAACTGAAGAAGGGTATACGCTCTTTGCCATCTCATCACTTCAGCATGCCTTCATCATTAAACACTGTCGGCTGTTTTGACCTAAATGCCAGCTGCTGTATTGCTAATCTAACTCAAAGTTATGCCTGCTAAAAGAATTTTCAACCAGGCCACAGCTGCCAGATTCTGTTTTCTTCATACAACTCAGGCAGCAGAAAGAATTACAATCAGGGCAGAGAATCTGGCCCAAAATGTGCAACACTACACATCCAGTAGAGTTACAGTACATCATCCAGTATTTAATGCACAGAGGTATCATTGTCTGGCTGCACACTGTATCTCTGCCAAAGAATCATTTCGCATTCCAGATTCAGATTAGAGGGCCTTTTATTTTACTTATTTATTTATTTATTTTGTAATAGTTCAATGGCATGTTGCTCAAAAAGTTGCAAGAACATTGAAAAAACGTTACTCAGAATAAGTTTTGGTTTTAGCATAGGATAACTCTATCATTGGTTCTATCACTGAATTCAAATTCAACACACAGAATTCATGTTAATTAGAAATTACATTCTGAAACATTACACTAATCAAATAAGACAACGCTACTGTGTGCAAATGATACACACGCATACACAATTTATAGTGACACATATTAAATACAATTGCACATTATGTTCGGAAGGTCAAACCCTGCCACTTTGTAGTCACAAACTCCCCCTGAAGTCCTTAATACAAGGTTGTTACAGCTAGGCTTTTATAATTTCATCATATAGATGAAAATAGAAACATCGATATTCTGCACCACCTGCCATCTTCGCTTTTGTTTGAAGCCCAACTGCAAAAATTCATGTTCTATTTGATTGTATTCTACAGAATTACAAAAGATGAGAATCTGTTTTTTTCTGCATGATTACCTTCAAAGCATCTTTCTATTGTGGCAAAAGAGTAATGCTTACTGACTGTCTGCACCGTCCTTCCATCCTTTATCATAGAACAGTTAGACTTCATTATTTCTGCTGGTGGCGTAAGAATCTGGGGGATGCTCTGTGATCTCTCACCCAACCATGCTCCATCATGACAGAAGAGAATCATGATGACCTAGCTTTTCTTTAGAAAAGGAAAGCCATCTACACGAGACTAAAAAATGTTCATTTGTTTGGCCTAAGCACTGGTTTCCTGATTCCTGTTTTTTTCCCAAACCATTGAATGTTCAATTGCCATTAGACAATACACTCAAAATACAGGAAGGATATGATCAGCGGGCTTGATTTCAAAGATCCTGAACTACCACTGAACTAGATCTGACTGAGTTTAAACGGCCCCAAGGGTAATTTATGATGTCATGACAGATTTACAAAAATATCCACTTTAGCACAAAGATATAACTTTGAATATATAAAACCATCTCACAAGTCCTTGCTTGTTAAAAGCATCACAGGCATACACAATAGTTCCTCAGCTGCTTAAAATGCCAGGAAGATCTTCATTTCAATGACTTTTTTATTTTAAAACTAAATATTTTTACAATCATTAATCACTAACCTGGCTGTTAAAGTTGGAGAAATGACAACAGAGGTAAAAATCTCAACCATAGCCATTTTACAAAGATCAGCTGCAGATCCTACAAAAGAAAGTGATCTGCTTTTAATTTAAAGCACGCAAAAGGAAAAAGTTCTTTTTAGAATCATGCTATAGCAACGAAAAAATGTCCAAAGATTTTGAACTATTAGCATTGAAAATACTTGCAGAATCAATTGATATAATATTTTAAACAGATCATGAGATTAATAAATAACAAACTAAATACTTAGATGTTAATGTAAAGACAGAAAATAATAATATTAACCTAGAAGTTAATCGAAGTTGAATTTAACAGGTCCGGCCGGAAGCTGAGAATCTCATTTTTATAAAAAGGGTTGAATTTCTGAGAGGATCTTACTCTAAATTTGAATTAAAATTTACCTAAAAATCCATTAAAATTAAATGTTGAAAAAAAGGTCAAAATATTTTTTCAGAAGTACTCATTAACCATATAACACACGGAGATCCACAGCTGGTTATTGAGATGTCCATGCCCAATTGTGAATTTAGCCTCAAAGACATATCTTCTTTTCCGGTGCAAATGACATGTGTCAAATTGATTCAATACAGCAGAAATAGGGACTCACTGACAGAAAGTACAAAAAGATGTTTCTGGCAAGGTCAAGTAGATATGTTCTTAGTGACTGTGAGAATAAAACTATAAAATTGAGTTTTTCATCCATTGTAATACATATGTTCTACTACGTATTCTTCATGGAAAAATATGAAATAATAAAACACAAAATAACTTTCAAAAGGAAAATGTTTTATTTTTTTTCTAAAACACGGTTTTTAGAAAGAGATAATTTAAATATTTTAAAAGAAAATTTGCTGCAATATTGTAAATTTACCTGATACAGCATACTTTAGGAAAAGTATTTGGATTATATTTTTCTGACCAGTACTACAATCCTTCTCTTTTAAAATGTTCCTTAATGTTAACATGATAAAATAACATAATAGACCAGATAGATATTTTTCCATGAGACAGTGGTGGATACAGGTCCATTATTTTCCCAGTGCATTTGGAACTTACAAAAGAGCAAGCTCCAAGAGAAGAGCTCTCCTAAACCAAATTCCAAAAATCCAAAAAGGATTAATAATACCTTAATAAAATACTCTTCTACAGAGTTAGCTCGAGTTGAATCATTACTGCAGTATTATGCAATATTATGTTGTATATTGCTAAAGACTATTGAATGGGGAAATACTCAATTAGAAAAAGTCACTGTGGCAAATCCAGTTACAGTAAGTTAAAATTCGAACTCTGTAAATGCCTCTCAATATTTGTGATGTCTCAGATGAAGCCTTCTGATATCAATGGCAGCTAACAAATCCAAGATGCCAACTCCTTACATTAATTGCACTATTACATATAAATATAAAATACACATATACTACGTTATAGGCAGTTTAGTTCAGCAACCGTGATGAAATGTTTTAGCATAAATTAGAAAGTTTTTGCAGTCTTTAAGTATTACGTCAGAGCTGAAATTCTGAAATTAAAAGACCTTTCTAGTCTAGAAAGAAATTTTAAATAAAATCTAAGAATACTGAATTTTTTTTAATATTCCAGTGTTTTGTCACACCTTCCAATATCACATGCTATGCACAATGGTTACATAACTTTCATTAGATTTGTCCTCTAGTATTATTTGAAGCTACAAGGAAATACTGTAAACTTATTATTGTAGGTTGTGATACATGTTCGTGCAGATTTTTTGCAGACATTCCTGTTGTAGTTTTGCCTCAGTTCCTGGCTCTTTGGACAGATGGACATAAGCAGGTTCTGATCAGAAGGCGAGGTACCTGTATTCCTGCTGCACTGTACACTCAGCAGGGCTTACCGTATTTGCTCGGGAACGGTGCCTTCCACTGCAGATGGCTGCTGGCCAGCTGGATAGAAACCCAGGGAACGTGAACACAGGTCTGCTTGCAGAAGGTTTTGCAGGCATGCCCAACACTACAAATGATTACTAATCACTAATTTACTAATCACTTTTTGCTGTTTTTACTTTTCCAATTTAGTTGGCAAATTTGCAAAGTCGTTTCATGAAAAAAACACCTTTATTCTTGCCCTTCACAGAATTATTTCTGAATGTTCTCCACAAAGAATGAGTTGAGCTTCAAAACTAATAATAATAATACATGATTCTTATAACATTGTGCGCATCTCAAACTAAAGCTATCTGACAAACCCGTAAGTAGAAAAATCACAGAAACCTTGGCTTTTGGGTAACAAATTATCAAAGAAACTAGAAAGGAAACTGTTTTAAGCCAATGATATATGTGAAGCACTGAATCCTATATGTTCTCTGTATACATAGTCTGTATCTATACCTTTACGTAGCTACTCCAGAGCACGATAGTATATTAGAATATCATGTTTGTGACGCTTTATTTGCAGTTTCCAAAGCGGCTAGGATACACAATTTAACCTTATCTTTTAAAACGGAACTCATTCCTCAGATTCATTCTGTTGAGATTATGAAACTAATTGTCCCCTAGGGTCAAACACAGATAGACAAATAGAGAGAAAGACAGGTAGATATGTAGGTAGGTAGACAGTTTTTTTACCTTGAACAACAAAATTGACAGCCTGCCTCTCTGCTTGGGTCCGCAGTTTGTAATCCTGTGCATTGATATTAGCCAGTGGTCTTTTACGGCCCATTATGGAAATCGCATAACCTTGTAAGATTGAAATGGAAATTAGCATTCTTCGAGTGACTAAAAATTAGACTTGAAAAATTTGTTTGGAATATGATGTACATTTTTGTAGTTACTCGATGCAATTTAATATTTATGCCTACTGAAAATAATCAAAGCTCCTCAGAAATACTTAGGTGTTGTATGGTTGGTCCAAGAATTATTTCATGCTAAGGACTGATACAAGTTACATATGGAAAAATTCTGTTCATTAGGGGTGTCATTAGTAGTCTATCGATAGGAGTGTCTCCTGAGTACCTACTTCACTAGGCACGTCTACTCATATACCAGTAAATTTTCTCAGTGGGAGATGAAACTATAAACACCAGGCAGAACTAGTTATCAGTTGCAGCCATAATTAGAGCTTTCTATGCAATTAATAGTTTACTTGGGGACAGTGAAAAAAAAAATCAATTTGTGGAGCATTAAATCATTAGGAATTCGTTCCAAACTTATCAAACAGTTTTCAAGCAAAAAAAAACAAAGTTAAAACTTTTCTTTTTTTTCATTTTATTCACGTGACAAATCCACGTCCCTTTCACAGCCAAACTTCCTTAACTCTAATGTGCTTATTTTGTAGTTTTGAGTCACATGAAAACACATTTAAACCTTTATGTTAGGCCTAATGATGCAGTTTGCAAAATAACTGTTTTGAAGGGTGAGTGAGAGGAGTTAAGGAAGGAAAAGAGACTTGAGGATCCTCTTGTTAACAAAAAACACACAAGCTTATCTCAGCTTATCTCCCAAAACTAGATTTCTTTTCTTCTTTTGATTAAGTCAGGAAAGTGAAAAATCTTCCATGTTAAAAACATCTTGTAATAAAATCTTCTGTTACACTTCCGATCGTCTCTGATTAACCATGATTCATCATCAGATATCATGGAAGTTCAGACTGCCAAACAGCTTCATCTCATCTTCTTTCATAATCCAGATATGCAAGCACAGTAAGGAGACATCTCAAAGCACAGAATTCTGCCCTTTCTAAAGAAAAAACATACCCAGTCTTAGGCAGAAAGGATGAAAATGCTTATGCTGAATTAAAAAGGCTTTCTGTGAACTGTCTTTTCAGGAGTGTTGATGAGAGAAGCACTGTTTTTGGAACAAGGAACCAAACTATCTGAAGGTTAGGATATTCGCTGACAAATCAGTCTTCCTAATTTAACTACAATTTCCCTTGAAGAACAGTAGCTAAGAAGATGGAATTCTCAAAACAGGGGATTCTCAGGGGAAAAGAGACTTACTGTGATATCGTGTAAATGCTGTATAATGTGTTTCCACAACAGAATCACACTTGCAACAGACATAGCTGACTAGCATACTCTGAACAAATCCCATCTCTCATATAATAATAGTAGGAGGGTACACCTCTACGGTCAAACAGTAGTCTGCATATACATGTTTAAAGGATGTCTTAACGTAATCTTTTTAACATGGTGATAATTCCATGAATCACAAACAAATATCTTCATCACAAATGAATGTTATTTATCTGCTTATCATTGTTATTTATCTGCTACCTGCCATATCAAACATTCATAGCACCTAAATAATGTTATTATATCATTATTATATCTATGATATGAACTCTCATCAATAATAAGAAAGACTAAGATGTACTTTGCAAACAAAGTGGACCAGATTTTCAGTGTGGCTTTGATACAATCCATTTCTTCAAATCGAGTCCAGTTGCATTTTTCCTGAACTATTTGCAAGGATTTAAATTGTCTCTTCCATCTCTTAGCTCATTAAGGTTCTCCTCAACTGCAGTTTTGGTCCACCCTTTCGGCTGAAACTTTAAGTATGGTCAAATTGTTCTCACTCCTGAAGGGTTTGCTCTTCAGTGAAACAGATGCTGTTCACCTTTAAACTGTATATAATTAAAGTTACTTTATAATGAGCTCACTACTTTGGTATGTTTTTTCTAGCAAGAATCTGAGGCAAGTTGACAGGAAAAATATTACATAATGTTGACCTGCTGCAGAATTTTTGAGCCTGCACAACTGAAACAGATTGTTCTTCTACTATTAATGGTTAAAACAACGGCTGATAGCTGGGAGCAAAAGGAGGTGTAAGCATTAACTGGACAAGTGTGTGCCAGCTTTTGATGGCAATCAAGGACAGGAGTTAACAACGCTCTCGTCTATTAAACACAGAAAACAGATTCTTCATCACAGAAGTTTGATTGTATAAATTCATTCATCTTTAAGAGAAGAAAGTTATGTTATTTTAAATAGATCAAAACAAATATAGATAAAGTTTGTAATATTTTACTAGATATATTACATAGGCCTTATTTATAGCTGAAAACAGGTTTTCAGTAACTTCTTCTTTCTTCAGTAATATTAATGAATGAATGAATGAAATTATGTTACCCAACGACAGTTCATGCTCCCCGTAGATTTGTAGGCTCTGCTACAAAAAAAGGAATATTACGATATATGCACTTATTAAAACTCTGCAAAATGTTGCAGCTGCTGGCCCCAGGAAGCATTCTGCAAACTTCTGTCATCACAGATACCACCTGAGCTTGCTAAAAAGAGACTGCTTCACAGTAAAGAGTTCTTTGAAAAGCATATTTCTCATTCATAGTGCAAGGATACATAACCCAACATCTATTTCTTGGGACTGCAGGCTTAGTTGCTCTCTTGGCTAGCAGAAAGCGTGCACAGAAGTACCACCTCTCCCATTCTTGCCATGTTAGCGTACAGGCAGACTGAATCCAGTACCATTCAGCTGCCTCTCAACCAGTATCAGAGCTCCCAAAAGAACTCTGAGGAAGTAGAAAAGGAAGGCAGGAACGAATGTTGACGACAGCTAGGCATGTTGGAAAACTCCAGTTATTAGTAAGAAAGAGTGCAACAATTTGCTCAGGACTGAGAGCAAAAAGTAAGTTCCTGGACAAAGAGCAAACAGACAAGAAGCCTACGAACAACCCTTATATATCCTTTCATCAATCAACCTCATGTACATTGTTATCCTAGACTCTCCAGAGAATCATATCACTCGGTGAAAAAACATACTGTTTCAATTTAGCAATATTCCTGTCTTTCATGATTTTCCCAACTTTTTCAAGCTATCACATGAACCGAGAATCTTGTGTTAACTAGCACAGATCTCAGGCCATCAGTGCACTGTGCTATTTATACGCAACAGATGCTCAGCATGTAAGCTGCTATTTTATACTCTCACTGCAATTTGCTGGAAACCAATTACTGCTTCACAAAAATCTGAAAGTAACTTCAGAAATGAGTTACTCGCACCAAAAACCACATCCAAGCAAGAAGGCTATGTCTTCTTGCCACGTACTAGCGATAAGAGTATCTGGGGTAAACATAACTACCTGAAAAGAAGTAGCTATGGATTTAAACATCTCTTCTCAGAGTTAAAAGAAAATGAAGATGTTTCACCAGGAAATGTTATAATTTTCGTAATTTATTCCATCTTTTTCCTTGTCCTATAAATACTTGAATTTTGGTTGAGTTGAATCTCTGTCTTCACTATTGTGACACAGTACTGATCAGTAAATAAAAATATGCTTATAGATATTGGATTACCTTTATTTCGACATTGTTCAATAGTCATCTTCGTAAATTCATGAACTTTCTTGTATTTCTGCATAAAACTATCTATAAAGTGACTGGCTTGAAGAGGAGTAATTCCAAGGCATTCAGCAAGACGTTCTTTACCTGGTGCGTAATAAAGCAGAACAGAAATCCACCAATCTATTACTACACAGAACAGTAGCACCGTTATATTCCACATTTAGTGGATTATTAATAAGCTATTTATTTCTACAAAAGAGGATGGATTTGATATACTACAACTATATTTCAAAAAAGCAAATGTTTAACTTTAAGCTTGAATGCTTTACTGAAGAGATATGGGTTAAGTACGTACTGACATTGCTAGCTATAATTATACTGTGATTTACATTTTTCTTGTTCATCGAATACCTTCTGTGATATTAAGTATGATTCACTAGCTAAGTGTGGAAGTTTGCAAACTTTGAGGAGCACATGAAGAACTTGAAGTCAATTTTAAATAAACAGAAATGTGAATGAAGATCTGGAAAAAGATGGAGATGTGGCTGGTCAAGTTTGGCAAAAAGTTGTTGGAGAGAGTGTAGAAGCCACAGAAACGCCTAATGGCTGAAGCAATCAGACAAAGTGGTCTGATTTTTGAAAGGTGTTTAGGAGTCTCAATAACAGGCATTTCAAACAGTCCTGGACTCCTAAACGTCTGTAAGAAACCGGGTCTAAGTTTTGAGATAGAAGCGTTGGAAAACAAAAAACAGAATTAAAAAGTTTTTGGAGAAAGGAATAGCTTCTGGATAGGGTATAGATGCACAATATAAGTTATATTGTATCTAAAAGCATTTATAAGATAAAGACAAGATGGAAAAAAGCTGGAGACAGTTTTCCAGAGTATGAAAACAGAAGCTGAGAGCTACAGTTTAAACAAATTTATAAATTAAATAGTTCAATTAAAATAAAACATACATCAATGTTAGTCACATGAGGTTTGAAAGACAGATATATTAATGTCAGCTACACAGCAACAAAAAAAATAGCACTGTGCTGCAAATAACATAAGCTGAGAGGCAATGTCTCAAGGCACTGCAGACACAGAATAGTTGTTATCACAGTAACATTGTCAAGAGAAATTATGCAGCATTTTTGAAAGAGAGAAGATTTCAGCCACCTAAATGCCATCGCTGTCAGTCTGATGCGCGTTTCAGAACAATTCTGTAGCGTTCTCTTCTCAGCCATGTCAGGATCTGCAGTGAGATCCAGGAACAACAGTCTGGACAAAGCGCTAGAATACGAAATTCACAAGACATCTAAGATGACTCTTAGCTGAGCTAAGAGCTAAAAGTACAGCACTGCACTTTTATTTGGCATCTAATCAACTGGACTTTTTCTTCATTGTTCAGAAAATGACACATCTACTTGCTAACGCACCTATCATTAACAGCTAGGAGACTGTTGTGGCTTCATTAGAGCACTGTAACATCTAAGTTTGTCCACATTTTCCAGCTAAAGAACCACTGATATACAGGCCAAAACATTACACAAAATAGTAGACAGCAAAATTAAATGAAAAAATAAACAGCAATAGTAATAAGGAAGCCTGAAGGGTTCCAAGGAAATACAGTTCATGGGGAAAAAGAAGAGGGAACTGTACAGCCACACAACTGTGTCAGATCACGTTCAACAACGTGGGAGCATAGGCCATAGTAAGCAATGCTCATGAGTAGACTAAAGCTTTCTTGAGCACTCTTGAGTTGTCTGTGCCTGGGGAATTGTTAGCAACAGCCTATGAGTTCAGTGTTCTCCATTCTGTGATATCATCTTTCAAAACGGAAAATATCATTACCAGTCTCTGTTTTTCATGCAAACACTTTGACATTCCTCTGTGTTATGCATAATTCAGGACTTGAACATTCTGCAGCTGAATAGAATTAATTCCTTATTTTACAGGTGCTTTAGTTGTCTTTGCTCTACTTTTGCAAGATAACTGAAGCATAAAGAGTGAACTGCATTGCTCCAAATCAAGCAAACAGATGGTGATGCTGTCATCCCTTTCAGTATTTGGTATATTTATTGAAGTACCAATTCCTAGATGTGGTGATACTTGTCTGTCTTTATTAGAGTATGTTTTATCCTCCGAGATTATAGAAAAGACCTTGAAAATATGAAAAAAGTGTAACTTAAAGCTAAGAAAACAGAAAGTGGAGAAATCAAAGATTATTATTTATTAAATGAAAGATTTCCATTGAATCCAATAAGCATAATACAGACAAGTTTCTCAGGGAATGGTTCTGTATTTTTCAATCCCTGAAGAAACAAAATTAAAAAGTAATTATTATTCATACTCTTCAGTTGTATCAAAATGTCTGCTCATACAAAGTTAGCAATCCTTTGAAAGGAGGGAAACTTTGGATTGAATCCAGGGCATCAAATTTAGGTATCTAATATGTTTTTTTAGTCTGCCCAGTTTCCATTTAAATAGTCATCACTCGGTGTTGAGTCTAAATTGGGACTTGATCATCATTGGGACTGAATGGAAGTATCTCACTATTTTACAGATGCTTCAATGTCCCTCATTTGAGAGAGATGAAGCACAAACAAGTGAAAGGAGACACTGAAATAAAGCACTGTTATACTGAAATTTCCAGTGGCTGGTGAGGGCCGTGAGGGAGTGCCAACACAATCAGGTTAATTTAATCATCTAAATCCTCTATCACATGAATAGGCAAAAGTAGGTTCCAGTGAAGGAGGCTCCAGCCCCAGGAATTTAGACATTTGCTTTTCTTTATTGGCTGTATACAGAACTTAAGGGCATTCAAAAGGTGCTGACTGACTCTGATTAAGTTAGGTATCTTCCTGTTCCACCGAGAATGAGGGAAACCAACAGGAAATCTGTAGCATCTGTATGCGCCAAGAGACAGGGGTGCTAATGCTTGCATTTTGCAAAATAATCTAGGGAACAAGGCATTCATGCTGGAAATGGGAGATTAGATTCTAGATTCAGACTGTGAAGGACTGAATCCACATTGTAGGAAACTAGAGCTCCCAGACCTGGGCTTTTTTAGTTTCTATGTTTTAAAATGCAATATAGCTTAAAGTAAAATGTATGAATGTATATATAATGTACACACATATCTGTATGTATAATCAGATATTCTAGAGAGCTGAATCTGAAGCTTTTTTTTTTTTTTTTTCCTCCTTCCCAGCTGAATGCCCTAAACACTAAATTCAATGCCCTTGGCCAACTCTGCCTTTGGTTCAATGACTATTGATTGTTCACTGCAAAGTGTTTCAGGTTCAAAAGGTGGTCTAGGAAGTGTTCTTACCCAGGAATCCAGGATGGAGTTTTAAGACCATCTAGGCTGAACAGAGCCTGCAACTTAGGGATCTCATTCCCTGGATGAGTTTTCCATTTGTTCTTCTCTACAGCTTTTGCATTTCTCCAGAGGATTTATAGAACGTTTAGTTAGCTTTTCACTAAAGCAAATACATGAGAGCTTCTCTGTAGGTGATAAGTATACAGCTGTCTTCCCAGAAGAGGTAATTCTGAGCACGTATGAACAATTAAAGTTACCTATCAGGAAAGTTGGGCATCATTCGAAAAACGGCAGACAGTTTTGGAAAGCATGCAGAATGTCTTCACTTTGGTAGGTTTTAGCTACCTACAGCCTAGACAGGAATTAGGCAGAATTGGGTCCAAGAATGTTTTTTTGCAGGTCCTCTGCGGTTGTGGGGTAACAGAAGCAAAAATCAAGATCCACTGTGTTTTGAGACAATACCGGAGTTAATTTAATTTCATTGCAGTTATTTTTATGTCTGTCTGCATACTGACACAATGCAAAGTCAAGTAAAAACCTACACTAATTTTAGATAAGGATAAATACTTCAGTTAGATCAGCAGCAAAGAAACATAAAATTAGAGTAACCTTTGTATATGCCAGTGTGGTTATGTTATTTTGACAATTCTCATACTGAGTAGACTATTTAACGATACTTGGTAAAAGTCAAAATGTAACAATATGACTCATCTTTAGAAATCTGGTCCACTTGTATAAGTTATGTATAAAGTGCACCTGCATAAAGTATGAAATAAAACCTATTACAGATCTTTTTGTTTTTGTACAAACGCCTACCTGCTCCATAAACTACTGAGTAGACCATACGCTTTGCCTGTTCTCTATCAGCCTGCTTCACTTGTTCACTCAGAATCCCCTTCCTAAGTAAACAAACAAAAATGTTATATTTTCAGCTAAAATGAATTTACTTTGTTAGCCCATGGAAAATATATTTAAAAGCAATAAAAGTCTATGTTCGTCAAATTTTTAAGATAGGCATAGAAGTACTTAGGAGCTTTCATCATAGGCTGCGAATGCATAACTTCTTTACAAATTTTGGTGGTGACAGTCCCTAGTAAATGAAAATCTTTATATTTGAATCTTCATCTTCTCCTTTCTCTTTTTTTCTTTCTTTTTTAAAATCAAATTCATGGCTGGGAAAACTCCTTCTATTTTATTATTAGTTATTTAGCGCCTCACCGGGCTCCACAACAGAGATGCTTCATAAAGAACTGGCATTGGCTGTTTCTTAACTGGCCAGCATAGCTAATTTACTAGCAACAAAGTATCACCCTCTCCAGTTCCCATTCACCCACCAAGTGATGTAAACAGTCCTACAAAAGGGCTGATGGATTTGGCAATTTGCAAATAAAGAGCTAGGACTCTGCAATCATCAGGTATGGCTACCTATGCTTTCTGTTATCCAAATGTATTATTGGACAATTATTGACAATTGACAACACTGAAAGAATATTGATCTTTTGGTTTAAATGCAAGTGCTTTTGGGGACGTCTTGATCATCTACTCATACTCAGAAAAGAACTACCTACTCAAATTGCAACTGGAACTTAAAGATGAATTGCTATCAGAGACAACTGATGTCCTATGTATAACTTATGAAAAAGTCTCCTCGTATCTCCTCATGAGTCTGTTTAAGATGGTTCGATTGCACTTTTCAAACCATCGTGATACTTTGTCATGAAAGATTTGGCTGACAAGCTTTGAGAAAACGGCATATTTCTGTGCATGTTCTCTCACCATTATTATGATACTCAAATACCTAGAAAATTGACATGAGTATAAATTTGTACTTGCTTCGCCCATACGCTCATTTTAGCCAAGGCTGCGCACAATACAATTTGGCACTCTGACTGATGAACAGGCAGATTATGGGTGCAAACAGATTTAGGCAAGTATGGATTTTTCTGAAGAGGAAAAATAAAACTGAATATGTTTTCAAATCTTCCTTTGGCAATAGTTTTTGGTTTTGTAGAAACAGTGTACCTCTGAATGCTATTAATCACTACAAAGAAAAAATGTAATCTCTGCTCGTTTCTAGGCTGAGAGATATAAAGAACTGGATAATCTGATAGATAGTGTTTTCCACCTATAGTGAAGACTATTCTCACTTAAGTCACTTAATGGTAGTTAGAGACTCTTATAATTAGCCTTCACTGTTGTGTCATTTCAAAAAGTCATGACTCTTGAATAAAGTGGGTTGAGATTCCCAAATGCACCTGATTAAGATGATAGAGTGGCAATTGGAACTATCAAATACAGATTTAGGAAACCAGACACCATCAAGGATTTCCTGAAGAAACCTCTGGCAGAAAGTCTGAGGAATTTCCTGAAGGACCTGGCAGAAAACTACGCATATTCTTGAGAAAGCATCTACCCAGAATCACACGGAAAAATGGAATCTGATAAGGGTTCCCTAGAGAACTGTGAATAGATCTTACCAGCGGACCCTTCTGAGCTGGAGAACCAAGGCTTCAGAATACTGAAGTCAGGGAAACAATACTAAATCTAACACTGTTTTCCCAAAATCATTTAATTTGAGCTAGAGGGCTGGAGAAGGCAAGAGAGAGGAGTACAGCAACAGGATTATTTACAGATTTACCTATATCTGAGGCTAGAGACAACTGAGAGCCAACAGGTGTGCAAAGGGTCAGCACGTTAGCTGCTGACCTCTCCAAAAAAGAACTGCAATTGAAAGAATACAGTGGGTTCAGAGCCGGGGAGTTCTGCAGAAGAATATCCATACTGATCAGGTGATGGTACAGGGGAAGCCATTCACCAGCAAAGAGCTGAAAAAGTCCTGTTGGGAACGCCTGAAGTGGTTCTTCAGCCAGGGAGTTCTAGTGTAGTTTTAAGACTAAAAGAAGATACTGGACCAAGATTAAGTGCACAACAAGACAGCGCAGGAATTTTAAGGCTGATTTTGCGTCATACTGAAGTGGCAGACTGGGAAAACAGAAATAGACTGACTGTTGTAATCTTGGTAGGCAGTGTCAGGAGAAGAATACTGTCTTTTGATAGTAAGGAATCACAATAAAGCCTTGTCTAACACAGTTATTAGTGCTGATGTACACACATTGTGTGATCATGGCAATCACAATAGTCACTTAGCATTTCCTAATCTTTAGTTGTTCAAGAAATATATATATTAATAAGAAGCAATTAAAATTTTAGAGCTTGATGTCAAACATTTCTTTTAATGTAAAGCTAAAAAAAAAAAAAAGGTCAGTGAACACATCCTCATGTATTAGACTGGCGAGCACTTGTCAGAAAGGCATTAAATCTAGCACTCTATATTTGTAAATTTAGATATCACCTTCAAGAATCTGGACTAATAAAAGACGAAATTGCCATATAAGTCACAAGCACTTGAGCAAATAGAAATCATGAATCAAAATTGTTCTTTTTTTTAAAATAATGAAATTTTTTTTTCCTGTTTGTCTTAACAATGATTGGTTTCTACATAGCATGCTTGATTCCTTCTGTAATTCAGAGTGACATCTCTGCAGTTGGAGGTGAAGATTAAGCCTATGAATAATGAAATGACACGGGTGGCTCAATTTCTTATAAATGTAGCTGCTATGTCCTTTTTCCTTCAGGTCATTTCCTTGAGAAATAAATTTATTTTTATGATAATGAACTATTTTGTTATAAAGAGTACTCTAAAGTTCAAATTTTTATCTTACTTTGGGATTCATCATGGAAAAAACCATGATATACAGGAAAATATATTGTTATCTTCTTGCTTGAATAAGAGATTTTAAAGCTATAATCACTAAGAAAGCTATCCAATGCATGCAAATACACAATACTGAATTGTGGTATGACATAAAATAGATCTCTGATGGAGATGCAGTGTATTAAAATAAACTTGCACCTGAAAAAGGAAGCTGTATGGGCATAAAAAAGCCTTAGCCATCAGGGCTAGACAGTGACATAGAGGCAGACTTCAGCTCACTCAATATTGTATGTATATCTGGAGGAATGGGAAGAATGTTAATGCGTAGGAACATAATAGAAATTGATGCAGAAAAAAAACTCAGGAGAAGAATGAATTTGCCAGAGGTTTTTGTTGGGGAAAATAGCTGTTTCTGAAGTCCCTCCTGAAAAAATATATATATAGCCATTAGTTCTGGCATGAAACACCTATATTTTTCCGTTTCATGACATCCTTCTCATTTCTCTGTCTCTCGGCTAAGCTATCTATCCAAGTTCATAATCAATATTATCATCGTACTCAAATTGCCATCTCCAAATGTGCAATATTTCACCTTTTATGTGCCTGCATTCTTAAATTCCTGTCCATGCCTGCATACTTCTCTCAGTCTATTTCCATAACTCTAATTTGTTTGTCCATTGCTTTCCTTTGTTTAATACTACTTTGCAAGTACTTTGCTTTGTAGTACTTTACTTGATACACATCTATTAGGCAAAATAAAGAACTGACTTCAGTGCTGGCAGACACTTAGCAAGTTCAGGTTAACAGATAACTCATTATTCTTGCAAGGAGTTAGCAGAGCTAAACACCTTGAAAGGACTGTAAGGATAGCAAAAATTTAGTGCAGAAAATTGTTAAAGGACAAATGCAGCCAGAGCAGAGATATCTAAGTTCTTTAAGAGCTAGTTCTGCTAAGAACTGGGCTGTATGCCAAAAAAGGAATACCTGCCTAATTCTTAGCATTAAATAATGGAGAAAAACTTTCTACAGAAACAGTGAGGGATAAGACCAAACTGCTAGGAAGAAACATACACTGTAGATATTATCTTTGACAAGTTATAACTTGACTATTTTCTATAATTTCCCCAAAATCCACTACATGTTTTCATACATTAATGTGTTCGAATGGACATCTCAAAGATTTTCTGCCGCATTAAATCTTATATTTATGAATACTGATTTTCTTTATACCTAAGGAAAACCTGGCAATCGTCTCTGTGATAAAAATAAACTTAACTATCAATTTGAAGAACATGTTTAATAAGGAGTAGCAACTTGGATGGATTTTTTTTAAATCTGTACAGAATATTAAAAAGAATCAATACATGCAAATTTTAGTATTCAGAACTTAGCAGACACAGCACAAAGGAGTTCAACATAAAAAAATCAAAAGGGGACCACGGGTCATAAAATCTGAGTAATGCCAAAATAAAAGTTTGAGAACAGGTAGAAGTGGAAGGAAATCAATCTTAAAAGAATGCGATAAGACAATTCAGCATTTCTGGGAAATATTTTGTGGTGACGGAAGTCCTCTGTTTATGTACAGGAAAAGACAAAACAAACACTTCAAACACAATAACTGGCAGACATGCGTTGCCTTGATCTGCATTACATTACAGCCAAGCTAAGCTCAGTCATAATGGCCATGAAGCTTTTGGCTGCTCTCCTGTATCTGCCAATTAATCCAAGTCCTAGCTGAGAGCTGTCGATGTGGGAAACGAGATGGAGTGCCATTAAATTCATTTTCTACATGGTCATTAATATCAAAAAAATGAGTAAACACAGACTTGCTCATAAGACTGCTCCTTTACAGCTTTTTTTCCTATTATTTCATCAGTGAAGTATATAAATCTGTCATTTTTTAATCACCTGTTGCTATTTAATAGCAGATGAAGGTTGTGTATTTTGTAAGTTTGTGTTTGGAACTTTGTATTGACACATGAAACCGGTGCAGGCAATTCTAAGTAATTAGTGACAACTGCAAGGTTTAGAAAGACTCATTTTCACAACGATATCACCACTGGATTTATCAGGCAGAAGGGAAATCCTGGAAGCTTATTTTTTAAATGATATCAGCATGATTATACTTAAGGCAAGCAGAATATATACCAAAACGTATTTCAGCATCCTAAACACATGAAAAAG